GTAGCATATAAATATACATATAGCCTGTCATTAAGAATCTGAGTTTGGTAATATAATAAAGGAAACAACAACGTCATATAGATAAATACGATTTACTTCAGCCATACCTTGTCTTGTTACAATATTCAATATTGATATGCGCTCCAAATCGTAGTAACAAATATCGATTGTAGGGTACAACCCATCGATTATCCAGATCAACGCCGCCACAGTTGAAAACTCTACCATTGTTCCGCCGACGATATTTAGCAAACCCAGTTTCATCAATAGTTGTTTGAGAAGAGTATTCCTTGGGGTAATGCTTACTACATTTCCCATTCTTCATACTACATTTCCAGATCAACGCCGCCACAGTTGAAAACTCTACCATTGTTCCGCCGACGATATTTAGCAAACCCAGTTTCATCAATAGTTGTTTGAGAAGAGTATTCCTTGGGGTAATGCTTACTACATTTCCCATTCTTCATGCACACATTATTAGGACGTACTGTACCACATGGGCCATGCATCATTGAACTTGTGACAACTGCATACAGTTCAGGATCAAGATCAGGATCCGGAATTTCAGCACATATTATGGAATCAATAGCCGCAGGACCATGGAATTTATTCTCCGAGGCCAAAAAAAGCAATATGTGTGCATGAGGGAGACCCCGCTTTTGCCATTCAATTGCTTTGACATCTGTACAGCAAGATGCAAATAGTGGAAAATGAATATTAGTTCAATGAGGTAAGAGAGTAATGGATGAACATTAATAGATAAATAACGAATGAATAAGCACACATACATGCATTGATTTTCCCAAATATTTGTTTCTCGCGAATCTCTAACATAAACTCATCAAGCTTGATTTTGAAAACTCTGGCGGTGATGTCAGCCCGGTCAGGATCTTTGCCACTGTACCTTCTAATCAAATCAACCATTAACTGTATCTCTGGCCAGTTAGAATTGCAAGTGAATGTTATAAACAAATCAGGATAACCAATCCAATTGCAAATAGCCATCGCATCCTGAAAATTCTCATACTGTATCTTGGACTACCAGTGTGTGAGGCAGCTAAAATAACTGGCTTCCCAGAAAGCTTGATATCACTATCTCCTCGCAAATAAGAATTCAACAAATCCTTGTAGTAGTGTCCTCTTAGCTTCGACTGATGGGTATGCATCCAGTCTAAGCGTTCAGCCTCAATTAACGCAAATGCATTCACCATATATTGTTGAAACAATTTACCAGATAATAACAGAGAATTCGACTCCTGTAGACGGGTTTGAAGACGATATGCATAGAAATCACACTGGGTTATCATTTTATCTCCAACACTAATATTAGAGCTACTGTGACTATAGCTAATGCAGGGATGCCACCCATCCTCGCCATATGGGAATAAAATTGGATATTGTAATGCCATCAGACTTAGATGGTATACGCTAATCCTTTCCATTTCTGAACCCTTCTGTTGAACAATTATATCTGGAGAAAATGATTGCTCTCCTGTTTCATCTACAATCAATGCTGCAATCTCATTCGCAGAGGGCAAATCATATTCTCTACTATTAATTTCACGCTTAGCCAATAGTTTCAGTTGAAGCTCCTGGACACCAGAGTTTTGTATCCTATCTCGCGCAGAACGAAATGTACGTACCAGGATATTATTGTCATCAAACATATGCTGGAGGCCTTCAACAATACACTGGCGCAACGGATTCTTGGCAGGATCAGTGGAGTAAAAGTCCATACGATTCTGCACCTCGTTATCTGAATCGTGAATGTAAAGTTGTGCAAATTTCGGACTATCCCCATCACCAGGAACCAAACATCCTATTCGATGATAAATCTGACCACCGATTGAATATACATAAACTCCACGACCATCATTAATAGAGTGATTGACTTTACCTCCGAGAGAAATAAAGCAAAAAACCCCATTATAGGCTCTGATGTTAGTACGAAAGTGACGCGCTAATGGTGTATCCCCTTCAAGTAGAGTTTTAAGAAATTCGGGCACATCTCTGCGGGGAGGCAATTTCACTTTACCATGTTTGCAACATAAAGGAAATGCAGGCAACACATCATTCCGTGTAGATAAAGTACTCTCGAACCGCCACATAACTGCTCCACAATGTTGACACGTACATGAAGGTGGACCAATATCAAAAAATTCAACCAACGGAAGACCTAGTGAAATAGATAAGTAATATTAATAAATTTTTGTCATAGTAATTCATAAATTGAATGAGATTGAGAAACTGTGAAGCCGATTTAGGCGTGCTACAGTAAACACAATTATTAAAATAAATGTTCTCAAGGCAAGATAGATTGGTATACCGCTCATTTTAAGTAAGAATAAGTCAAATTTCAGGAAACACCAAAGTTTGTTCATAACACACAAATTTGCCGTTGACACATCAACATCTAAAAACAATCCACTATTTGCATAAGGTGACATGAAGCGTACATCACTAAATTATATGCATGGCATAAATGGGTACATTATATGTTCTAAAACCAAAATAGGAAACAAAATATGTTGACCAGAACACAAAAACATATATCCAATGTACAAAAACTAAACCAAAATAGAGATGAACCATTTCATGTATAATAGTGGCCATTAGAATCCACATACTTTGATTGACTTCTGTAGGAAAGAAACTTCGGCCACGTCTCTTTCTATGCAGATGAATACGTCGAAGTAATCGACTTTGCTTTTGTAATAGAAATCTAAACTCCGGCTCCAAAACTATGAACAACACCAAAACACATACGATATTAAAGAAATAAATAAAGATTCAACAATCTAGAATAGCCTAATTTGTAAGACTTGCTACAAAATTTAGCAAACAACAACCTTGGTGTTCAAAAGGCAAGCCCCTCCTATGAACCTTCTGTTTCAAAATATGATGTCTTCTCTTACGGGCGACTTGGGATAGTATTCGCCGAAGTTGAGAGAGTTGGAATTGTAAGGCAGCTTCTTTTGCAGAATTTAAATATAAAACCATGTATTACTCATTGAATAGATGAACTAATTAGAAAAATTAAAACACAGATAACACACCTCTCTCAAATGCTTCTTCCTCTTCAGCAGATAAAACACAGCGTTGGTACTGATCTTCAGGATGAATAAACACTGCTCGACGTTTCCCTAAACAAATGAGATTCAAGGGAAAATATTAATGTCAGTTTGCATTGAAGCAGTTGCGTGCTAAACCATGACACTCACATGGTACAGACGATCGATAAATCTGTGGTTAGGCAGATGGGATGACATTTGCACTATCCATATTAAATTCTCCAATAACCTGATGCAATCTGAAATAGAGGTCGTGGTAAATGATGCACCCGTTCCAGTAAATTTTGCAGCTGCCATTCATATAAATTAATTAATTGTTACAACAGAAGTTAAACTCCTCACCAATTATAAGTTTGTGCGAGTTAATGACACATACAACACACCACACAAACATAACAGTCGAAGAAAAATATAACTATATAAGGCATAATTTAAATTGATGAACAAAACACATATAACATAATGGCTTCCAAGCTTGGGGATGCAAAGGAAGAGCGAGAAGGACAACAATGTAATGGCCAACACAAATATAATTCAAAGGCATCCATAAAAACCATATCCAAAGAGAAGTTTGAAAAAGAAGCAAGCTGGCAATAAGAAAAGCACTATAAGTGCTTACCAATTCTAGTTCTTCTAACTATACCAAGCTTATCCCTTCTTTCAATTATGCAGTTTACGCTTTGTACTTTTAGCACAAATGGATTCCAACTCTAATGTCACAATACAAATACAATGCAAATGAAGTTGAAGAACAATAAAACAAACTAATGGAGTGAGATAAAACTGTCCAATGATCTTATGTAATAACGGGAAAAAAGCCTGGTAGAACCAATACACTAACCAGTGGAGCATGCTTATCAATACCACCTACTTTATGCTTCTTTAGTGATTAGAGCTGAAAGTACATTATCAGATCATAGCCAGTCCCATTAGATTAATTAACCTAGAAACATATGAGAGAAAACCTTACTGACTCAAGTAGGCTGGGCCTCTGAAGTATGGGCTGGCAAGAGAAATGGATCCCCGAGGCCTTATGGTTTACGCTTTCCTTTTCCCCCGCCAGGCCAGCGGTAGTTTATAGCCGGCCCTTCGGTTTACTGACCTGGAAAACGACCCGGACGAAGTACCTGGCTGCCGCCGTCGAACGTCTCTTTCTTTCCTCTTCTTTCTCTGCGGCCCGGAAAAACTCAGCTCAAAATCGGCAGTCGGCTGCTCTCTGGAAGACAGTCTAAGCGAAGTGGAATTTAAAGTAAGCAGCTTTGTTACTTTCAAGAGAAAGGGAAAAATCAAAAATCCCCTTTTGATCTCTAGAGAATCCAATCAACAGAATGAAGCGAGAAAGGTAAGAGAGAATAAAGAAAACGGAATGAACCAAAGGTAAGGGAGATGAATCTTTGCAACCGAATCCCTGGAAAAAAAAAACCCAGAACCCGAATCCCTAAAACTAAAAGCAGCAACAACAACAAACAGAAATCTGAAAGAGGAAGAATAACTTACGGCAAAACCAATACCGATCTAACGCTTAGAGAACGGAAATCAAAGGTAGATGCAAGCACATAAAAGAACCAGATGATTGAGTCAAGGTTTGGTTTTCTGAAGGCCAAGAAACTTATTCGAATGAGGTGAAAGAGTGGAAGGAAGGGAAATCGGAAATAAAAAATACAAATTAAATGAGAACGTGGGCCTGGAAGGAGAAAAAAGTGGGTAGTGGAGAGTTTTTTGGTTCTGAAATCAGGCGTGACTCTTTTTGTCCCGCTTAACACTCTGCCACATCAGCTTCCTAAAATCACTCTATGGGCAGGAAATTTTGAATGGGGGTTGCAGTTTTACTTTTCAGCTATAAATTATATTGTTGATTCTTGGTTAAGTAGAAATGCAGAAGATTTTTTTTACAAAAGATAGATCATATATTGATTAAAAAAATAGCTCAGTACATCCTGAAATTTAATCAGGTTCGAAAGTTAAAATAGCGACACATAGTCGGATACAAAGAAAGAACTTTACGAGTCACTAAATGAGCTACCCTATTATTACGCCGACCTACAAATCGCACATGAAAAGCCTCATGACTTGCAATCAGACGAACAACTTATTCAAGGACACTCCCCACTTTGCTGTCACAGGTATCCGCCTGATTAACTTTATCAATAACAACCTTGGCATCCCCTTCAAATCTCATCTCCGTGAATCCCAGCTCCAGACACCAGAGAATTGTCTCCCGAGTCATCAATATAAGGAAACTGTACTCCTTTGACCACAAGGACTCTCCCCCTTGATCCTTAATAAGAATAATGTCTGCCGAATGAGACCCACTCCTAGTCGCTCCATCCCACATGCAGACAGCCAAATGGGCCCCCCACCTTGTTGTCCCGCTTGATCCCTCGAGGATCGGACCATATGAGCAACGTGGAGACTGACCCATTCCTGATATTGCTAATGAAACTGCCACATTAAAACTTGGATCCCAAAATTGTTTGCCTCAAAGACAACCCAATTTCAGGACTTCCATATTCGCCAGAGAACTGCCACAACGGCCATGAAAGCAGGAGCACGATGAATGAGGCTCATAACACACTTCAGAAAGAGGGAAAAGTATGACGAGGCAACCCTTGCCCTAAATAATCAAGTCCCGAGTGATCCCAAAGTGCTCTGGCTACTGGACAATCCAGAAACAAATGTTCCAATGTCTCAGACTCTGCCCAACAAACCAGGCACCTAGGTAGCATCGGAACATCCCTCTCGATAAGGGCTTCCGTGGTCGAGAGAATATGGTTAAATATTTGCCAAATAAACACCTTAAGTTCAGGTGGGATATGAGCTTTGCATAGGCAAATCCAACTAGATTTATCCATCTAGCTAACCATGGACCGCCATCTACAAGTTTGCTTCTCCACCAAAACAGCAAGATGATAGGCTGATTTGACGGTGAATACTCCATCACAGGTTTCATGCCAGCCCAGCCGATCTTCAACATCTTGCCAAGGGAGTGGGATTCTCCTAATGGTACGAGAGGTTTCCGGGTCAAAACATTAGGCAAGTTTTGTCTCACACCATCTACCCTCCCCTGGAGATATTACCTCCACCACCTTCAGGTTTTCAACTCAGGGAGAATTAGTGGATTATAAACCGGAGGCTGAGGATGTAGACCTGGTACCCAGGTGGAGTTGAGAAAGGGAGCATACTACCCATTTCCAATATGCCATCTAAGACCCTTCAAAAGTAACTGTCTACCATACAAGACACTTTGTCATCCCTAAGATGGTCGCGAGCGAGGGGTTGCATCTAAGAAGGTACCATTAGGAAAGTACTTCCTCGTGTAAACTTGAGCTAACAGCGAATGGGGCTCATTTTGAGGATACGACACCCAATTTTAGCCAAAAGGGCCTAGTTAAAATGCTCAAAACGGTGAAACTCCATGCCTCCATCATGTTTACTGTGAGACATATTACGCCAGGACATCCACCGAATCCGGGAATGACCGACCTCTACGCCCCACCAGAACCTGGCAACGTGTTTATCCAATAATCGACAAAGAGATAGGGGAAGTTTAAAACATGACACAAAGTGGGAAAGCTGAGGCAACTGATTTAATCAGTGTCTCCTTAGCTGCTAGTGACAGAGTCCGTTGTTTCCACCTCTGAAGTCTACTTATCAATTTCTCCTCCAAGAACCTGAACGTAGCCATTTTTGACTGAGCTACCAAAGTGGGCAGTCCTAGGTACTTATCTGGACCCCTACAGCACCTACCCCAAGGATTTGAGCGAGGAACTCTTGATCCGGCGGAGAGATATTCTTGCTAAAGCAAACAACCGACTTATCCAAATTCACTCGTTGTCCAGTGAGCTCCTCATACTCATTCAAAACCTCATTTAAATTTTCACATTCCTGTAAAGATCATCTGAGGAACAGGTATGATTCATCTGCAAAAAACAGATGTGAGATCCGTGGGGCACGAGGGGCAACTTTTACCCCTGCTAATTTCCTCTTTGAATTTGCTTTCCGGAGAAGAGCCGCAAACCCCTCAGTACACAGAACACGTAGCAGCGGGGAAAGCGGATCACCTTGAAGGAGACCGCGAGAGGACCCAAAGAAACCCAAAGGTGTGCCATTCATCATAATCGAGAATGTCATTGAGCGAAGACACTCGTGTATACAGCCTTGCCAAACAGGTTAAAAACATAATTTGTCCACAACCGCAAGGAGAAAAGGCCATTCGACTCTATCATAGGCCTTTTCCATGTCAACCTTTAGAGCCATGTACCCTTTCTTCCCTCGATTTTTGATTTTCAAATAATGCATTAACTCGTGCCCAATGAGAACATTCTCGACAATCTGGCGCTCCCGAATAAAAGCATTCTGGCCATCAGAAATAATTTGTGGGAGAAATTGAGCCAAACGTTCTGCCATGATCTTGACTATAACCTTATACACAAATTGGCAGAGACTGATTGGTCATAGCTGCCTCATATTCTCCACATTAACAACCTTTGGAATCAACGTTAACCAAGTATGATTAAAGCTCCAGAGGAGTCTGCCTGTATAAAAAAAATGAGCGGACCGCAGTTATCACAGAATCGCCAACAATATCCCAGTAGGACTTGAAAAACTTCCCAGTAAACCCATATGATCCCAGGGCCTGCTTCGAGTCCATGGAAAAGACAGTTTGTCAGATTTCCACAGGGATGACTTCGGCCAGCAGGCTAGCATTCATTTCATCCGTCACGCGCTTGTCAATCGGAAGGTGCACCACCCGAGCTTCCATATTTGACACTTGGTTCTCTGAAGTGAAAAGAGTTTGATAGAAACCAGTGGCTATATCAACCTTCTCTCTCTTATCAATGACCCATTCACCAATATCATTCCGAAGCCTAGACACAAAGTTATGCTTCTGTGGGCCCGGGTGACTGTATGGAAATAGGAAGTGTTCTGATCCCCTATATTAAGCCATCACACTCTTGATTTTTGTTGCCAGTAGACATCCTCAACCTCCCATTGTCTTATCAATTCAGCTTCTAAGACCTTCACCTCCTCCCAGTTGATCAGATGAACCAATTTAATGCGATCAATTTCAGCTTGGAGAGTTCTAATATTCCACAGGGAATTAGTAGTACCGGCCCTGCTCCAATCATACAGCAAATGACGAAGTTTTTTCAGCCTCTCCCAAAGCCGGTACAATGGAGTCCCATGGATCTACTCCCGCCAAACATAATTTACCATAGCCTTTACCTCCAGATTATCCGCCCATCGGGCATCAAAGCGAAACAGAGGGCGACTGGCACGGATATACGGTCGATCAGATAAGAGCAAAGCTCTGTGATCAGACCCCTAATCAGTGAAATTTTTTACAAGGGTCTCCGGATAGCGGTCAACCCATGACTGGGAGGAAAGGGCTCTGTCCAATCGCTCACGAATACATGCATCGCCCATGCGTTTGTTAGTCCACGTGAATTGATCACCTTGATACCCAGGATCTGGAGTCCCAAGTCATGAACGAAAGCATGGAGGTCAACCGATTGGGCTGCATTTCAAGGATTACCGCCATCCTTCTCACTTGCACGTAACGTAACATTAAAATCACCAATCACCACAAAGGGGAAATGGATTTCTTCGCAAATACAACGAAGATGAGCCAATTGGGTAGCTCTTATTGCCATATTACAAATAATATAAACACACACCACCACATACGAAAAGTCACTTTCATTAATTTGAACACAAATGCATAAACTTGAATGGAAAACACCGAAGCATCAACTCCTGGGGACCAAGCTACAACTAAACCTCCAGATGCATTAATGACATCTTCGAAAAAACAATGAGCAGAATCAAAACCCAAACCCTGCATTCTCCGGGAAACAACTCTCCGGCTTGATCGTGTTTCTGAAAAAAACACAAGATCCTATTTTTTGGAATGAACTAACCCTACAGTAGTTTGGAATGTGAGTGATGGTCCAATTCCCCTCACATTCCATGCTAAAAGTTTCATTTATCCGCCTGGGGCAATTCTAGGCTGGCTTCCTCCACCTTTTCATCTTCATTCGTCTCTTCCACAACTTGTTTCTTAGGAGTGGGATGCTCACCCACCTCCCCATCCATCTCCTATCGCGTCCGTTTCCTCCCACCACTCCTAGGATCCGAAATGTTCGATCCATACTCGTTTAATTCGATCCATACTCGTTTAATTTCAGTGTCATTTTTTGCTCATCACCACGCAGCTCCTCCACAGCACCGAAAAACTCATGGTCTTGGCCGAAGCCTGACCCATGACCCTTTTCCACTCCAAAAATTGTCATGCCAACTTCAAATGCTTTGACCATTTGGCGAACACGTCCCGAGCTGGTATGGTGATCTCCGAGCAAGATGGTAGGAGGGAGGCGGCTTTTCAGCTCGAAATGGAGATCGTCCTCTTCAGATAAGAGGTCATCCTGGTCTCCCGATCCTTGCTCCATCACATGAACACCTTCCATCAGGTGATTGTACCTGACATGTATTGCCTTCAAGTCCGTAGTGGGCTTCGCCAATGATCTAGTAGGCTGCAAAACTTCCATCTTCCACTATTTTGCAGCTTGGAACTGGACGCCCCCTTGGGCTTCGATTGGCGAGGCGCACTTTTGGTAGTCCCATGCCTCGCTGAGGGAGGAGCGTGGTCCGCTTGATGCTTCTCCTTCTTCACAGTTATTTCACGGCGAGGCAGGCAAGCAGCAGCCACCGGCTTGGGAAGGACGAGCTCGTGGCTGGCCGGGACGCCAGGACGTTGCATGGCCTGCATGGGAGGCTCATATTGGGGGGGTATCCTCGTCAGAGTCATCCGCCAACACCAGACGCATGCGCCTTGCAGGATCCGGGGCCATGTCCACTAAAGGAACAGAATCTTCTAGCTCGGCGTTCAGATGCTCACTAGTGGCAGTCAGCGATTAGTGGTAGTCCCGAAACCCACGGTTTCCTCCTTTAAAATCCCCGGTCACGGAATTGGAGCGCAAGACCGTGGATTTTCCCTAATCAAAATCCACGGTCTATTCGTGGAATCCACAGTCGGGGAATTGAGGCACCTGACCATGGATTTAACTGCTTTGGCTTCTGGTTTCCGTTTGATATCCAGTTGCATCCAGACTTGCTCCTCAGCCTCTATTTACATGCCAGGACTTTAAATATCATCAACAAGAACTACCTAGCATAAAATGGGCCAAAAAGCAATCAAGAGCTAAGCCAAACGGTCGGAAAATGTCGGAAAACATGTGGTTATCAAATTCCCCCACTTAACTGTATGCTTGTCCCCAACCAAACCTAACTCAAACTAATGCAACTCTTGAGACCTTTACATCAACATGCAACCCCAATCGTCGGCAAAGGACGTCCTAAGTCATTTAACAGCTTACGAGGTCAATCAGTTTTCTAAGACATGCCCTATCTCTCTCAATGCGAGTACTAGACTCAAGGCAGGATCATGCAAAATAGTGGACCTAGAACAAACAATTCATGGACAAAGAGACTCACACAACACAACAACCAATGACTCTTCGTATTGGGTGCTCTTCCCATTTACTTCATTCGCTGGAACCCCTTTTTCTTATGGTTTTCTTTCTTCATTTTCTTTTTTTTCCTCACTTTGCTAGGGTTCCAGACTGCAATTTTTAATGCTCAATCGACTCTTATTAGTTGAGCTAGAGAATAAGTGCAATTTCTTTTTCTTTTTCATTATTGAAAATCCACGTTTTCATGGCGCAATAAATCAAAATATTTGAAAATTTTAACTTGAATATAATTTTACTACTCTACCTAATAAAACAAGAGAATAAGTGCAATTTTTTTATTTTTGCCACCCCGACATCGAAAATCCTGGATTCGTCCCTGACTTATATTAAATGGTAACTAGTCGAGTTAAAGGGATAAATAAAAAAATTCTAATAATAATTAATATTATTCAAGCCAATCATAAGGGCCATGTGGGAGGTAAGATAGCATGTCTAGCCTAAAAGGGGTTTGATTTTTGACACCCCCTTTCTTATTGATCCATTTTTCTTTCAATTATTTGGCAAGTATTAATGGGACTTATTTTTTATTTTTTTAATATTGTAATTTGAGAAAGTTCCTAATAATAAATATGAGCCTCTCTCTAACTTGGGAAAGTTCCCTATAATAAATATGAGAGACTCCTCTCCCTATAATAAATATTTATCCATTCTTCTTCACCTTCCTTTTCCTCCTGCCGCCGCCATCACCACCATTTCTCCAGCCTCTTTCTTCATGCCGCCACCACTATCCCCCACCATCTTCTTCTTTGTCAGCTTCCTCTTCCTCCCGCCGCCGCCATCACCTCTCTCCGCCCTCTTCCTCCACGCATCAGGAGTCGCTGCCACATCCCCCGTCGTGCCGCCCTCCTCCCCACGCTCCTCTCTCGGTGAGTTATCAATTTCCATATCTACTTTTTGATTTTCGGTTCTGATTTTTGTACCACTGCACTTGAACTCAGATATGATATTTGTACCAGTGCATTGGTAATCAGTGCACTGGTAGCGATACCATTGTACTGGTAGCGCTATCAGTGCACTGGGACAAATCGCATATATGAGTTTAAATTGCAGTAGGAAAAATATCAGTGCAGTGGTACAATGTATAAGTGCAGTGGTATATTTTTTTTTAATGTAGTGCTACATTTTTGCAGGTGCCTGGTGGGAGTCTGCGGGCGGGATTTTCAACGGAGAAGTGTGATAGTCGGAGGCTACTGGAAAAGGAAGGATCATAAACAGGGAGAGAGAATTCTATTTTGTGTAGGTTTAGATTTAAAAAAAAAGAAATTAATTCAAATGTATATTTAATTCTTAATTTGTATTTAATAAGAGTATTAAATTCTACAAGTTGCATTTAATACCAGGTGGGTGTCATTTTTCCAACCTCTTAAGGGGTTAGCAAGCTAAGCGATCCCGCCATGTGAAGCAAAATTTCGGCCGATCTCGACTATGGAAATGGTACACTATATATGTGAATCAATCTCGCTATGGTGCACATAACACATTTTATGTGCATGTTCTCACAATTTTTCTATTGGTCCACATCACCCAAATTAAAAATGAGTGGCCAGAATTCACCGGCTTGGAGGTTGACTCAAATTAGAGATGAGCCACAAAATTGGAGCTAGGTAAGTTGAGTAAAAGTAAGGGACCACCAAGTGAGAGATAATGACATCTCCCCCTTTTCATTTCTCTCCTTTTTTTCCCACCTTTTTTTCCATCTTTTTTCTCTAAAAATGTTCAATCTATCTCAAACTTTTTTTCTTTCGAAGTCAATGGACCACCATGTGAGAGAAAGACTTCTCCCCCTTTTTATCTCTCTCAAATTCCTCTCCCTTTCTTTTTCCACCTTCTTTCTTTATCTTTTTTTTTTTCCTGAAATGTTCAATTTCTCTCAATCTTATTCTTTTTTCTCCAGTTTATCTCTTCCTCTTTTTTCTCTGAATTGATTTTTTTTAAGACGAGATGTTGCTCAAACTCCGTCTACCGTTAATGCTAACCCTCTCTTCTCCCTGTCAACATTCTTTTGAAATTGACCACCGCTGGTCTAGATAAGCTTGTGAAGATCGGCCAATTTTATCGCATGAAAAATTATCGTCGATTCGAAGAAGAGCCCTTTGATTCTTGTGCCCAAAGCAAACGACTCGTCTATTATGTATAGGAAGACGAGTAGAAATGTATAAAGTGAGCTTAACTGAAATTGAATATGAGTTTACCTCATACTGATACATGTTGAGTTGATATTGGATATGAGTTTACTTAGTATTGAATATGATGTTGAACATATAAGTGCAAACTAATTCTCATCTCTGGTAGGGGTGGACAAACGGTTCGGTAAACCCAAGCCGAACCGAAACCGAATTAATGCTATTCGGCTCGGAATTCGGAAGGAAAATATGGATTGTTCGAAAATTAGGATTTTTTCAACCAAACTGAATTTCCGACCGAAAAACCGAAATACTATAATTGCAAGCTCCAAATGGTGGATTTTTATGTTTGTAGTTGTTTTTAGACTTAAATATTTGAAATGTTTTATGACTTATGTGTTGAAAAGTTTGATTTTATCATTAATGATGCATATAATTGATATTTATTGTTTATATTAGAGGTGAAATAATTTAAAAGTGAGAAAATACAAGTAGCTTCACAAATTCGGTTTTGTGTGAAAAACCGAACCAAATTATAATTCGGTTTAAACCGACTGAACCAAATTATCGAATTCGGTTTGAGGTTCGAGAGAATTTGGGGACCCGATATTCATAATTGCGGTTCGATCAAAACCGAACCGACCGAATCCCACCCCCTAATCTCTTGTAGTAATTTAAATAATATTCAATACCACATAAATTAATATTCACTATGAGGTTATCTGATATTTAAGTTTACTCAACAAATATTCAAGTCAAATAAATCATCATCTTTGGTACTAATTCAACTAATATTTGATACCACGTACATTGATATTCTGTACCAAGTCATCCGATAATCAATATTTGCTCAAAATATATTCAATTCAAATAAATAAATCACCTTTGATACTAGTTCAACTAATATTTGATACCACGTAGACTTATATTCGGTACCTGGTCATCCGATATTCAATATTTACTCAACAAATATTCAAGTCAAATAAATCAGTTATCTTTGGTACTCGTTCAACTAATATTTGATACCATGTCAACGCATATTCAATACCAAATTAATTAATATTCATTGTTTTCTCAACACAAATTTAAGTCAATAAATCAATTCTCATCTTTGATAGTAGTTCAACAAATATTTCATGAGGTCTTCAATTATATTACTAGTATTTATCGTTCACAAACTAATAATCATTATATTATGAAAGGTCACACATACTAATTACATTTTTAACTTGGATTCATGACACAAAATTGCAAGTTGAAAATGACATGAATCCAAGCTTTCTTATTGAATACCTAGTTGAACTAGTAGCAAAGATGATTGATTTATTTGACTTGAATCTTTGTTGAGTAAGCATAGAATATCAGAAAACCTCGTAAGAAATATGACTTTACGTAGGATTGGATATTATTTAAATTAATACCAGAGTTGAGAATTAGTTTACACTCATATGTTCGGTGTCATATTCAATACTAAGTAAACTCATTTAGCATAAACTCAACATGTATTAATATCAGGTAAACTCATATTCAATTTCATTTAAGCTTATTTAATACATTTCTACTCGCCTTCATACGTATAATTGACAAGTCATGGGCTTTTGACCCAAGAATCAAAGGGGTCTTCTTCGAATCAACGACGATATTTCCGCGACCAAATTGGCCGATCTTCACAAGCTTACCTAGATTAGCAATGGTCAATTTCAAAAAAAAGTTGACGGCTGGAAGAGAGGGTTAGCAATAACGGTAGGCGGAGTTTGAGGCACCTCTCGTCTTAAAAAAATCACTTCAGAGAGAAAGTAGTAACATATAAATTGGAAAAAAAAGAAGTTTGAGAGAGATTAAACACTTTTCGAGAAAAAAAGATGAAGAGAGAAGGTGAAAAAAGAAAGAGAGAGAAATAAATAGGGAAATAAGTTTTTCTCTTTCACTTGGTGGTCCCTAGAAAGATCACACTAATTTTTAGTTTGGGTTATGTGAATCAATAGAAAAGTTGTGAGCACATGCATATAAAATGTGTTATGTGCACCATAGCGAGATTGTGTGAATTGCATTCCCACTCTTTAACATACTTCTCCTTTCAATTTTTGGAAATAAGATTACATCCTCTGCCAAGAAACTAGTTAAAGAAAATGTCGTTTAGCCGGGTTCTGGTCCCCCTGAACCCCGCCAGCAAGCCCTCCACTTCCCATCCTATTCTTCCTTAGAGAATTCTTCTTACTTACGAACCTGCTCCCCCCGTCTTGGCCATTCTACTGAGCGTCGACGAGCTCTTTCCACCTCCAATCATCCTCTTCCGTCACCACTTTTAGATCCCAAACCATTTGGTGAAGTTGTAGATGATAAAATCCTAGCCCAGATGAAAGAGTGGCAAAAGAAAGAACAAATGTTAGTGAAGTTGAATACCACATTTCCCTTCATCGTATTAATCATTGTTCTTCAACAGCTATGGAAGGACTAATGTGCTTGGATAGAGAAAAAGAATGTAGAATCGCCCATAGTGAAGGAAGTTTCTGACTCGTTGAAGACGACAGAGAAGCCGAACGAGACTGAGAAAGGGTTTGTGACGAAATCCCAGAAGAAGCCGGATGAGGAATTGAAGAGGTTTGCCGCAAAAACCCAAAATCCTGACGAGGATTTGAAGGGGTCTGTGGCAAAAACCCAGAAGACGTCAGACAAGGAATTGAAGGGGTTTGCGGCGAAAACCCAAAAGCCGGACAAGGATTTGAAGGACTCTGCGAAAACACAGAAGAAGTCGGACGAGGAATTGAAGGGGTTTGCGGTGAAAACCCAAAAGCCGAACGAGGATTTGAAGGGCTTTGCGACGAAAATCCAGAAGAAGCTGGAAGAGAAATTGAAAACCCAGAAGCCGGACGAGGATTTGAAGTGCTGTGAGGTGAAAATCTAGGAGAAGCATTTTAAGAAGGGTCTTATGGTGTGGGGATGATGGTGCTCATCATACTCTATATGAGGAAGAAAGACTGAACAAGACGACGAAAGAGTAACAAGACGAGGATAACATTGTTTTTGATTTGTTTGTTTCATCATGTACAAACAGACTATTCTTTGACCTGAATGACTTGATAGATAAACGTGGATTCTCCATTTTGACATTTTCCACTCCATTTTCTTACCTTTTCTACATTTTGTCCCGATCTTTTCCCCTCAAACCCTTACCACCCTAGACTTCTTGAAGCTCACCCTTGCTCAATTAGTTTATCTGTCCTGAAGTATTCAATATGATAATTATGACACGAACTTCATCTCTGTTAACTTTAACAACACTGAATGTTAGTGGTCAATAGTCAACGAGTTGACTGTTGATGTGTCAGCTAATTTTTATTATTTGTACATAAAAATTTAATAGAAAAACAATAATAAAAGAATACTTTATTCCATGTAAGATCAGTTTCAATTTTGGTGCTTGAATTTCTTCGTCGCTGGACTGCCGCAAATTCATAATCGTCTATTTCATCAAACGGGCAACCATGTCAGTTTCATTTCCATTCCATCGCCCTGCTCTACAGCATCTCCCTCTGCTTCTGCCATAACCACTTTTTCCACAACCTCCGCTCGTCTAAGAATCTCTGTCATTGTTATGCCGGGTCTTATTCTTACTACCACGGGGTTTCCATTCGGAGCTCACAAGTCGAAGGCCCGATTTAGTCGCTGGTCTCTCAAGGAGTCTTCGCCACCATCAGCTTCCACTCTATTGAAGCCCACCTCTCCTTCCCCTTCATCTTCTTCATCCCCGCTATGGCCGGTGGGTTCTGCCTCACAATTGAGTGTCATAGAGGGTAAGGTGTGGTGACTTTGGAGTTCTAGAGGCAGAGGGCCAAGGATCTTCAGTAGTATTTCAAGCAAAGGAAGCTCGAGGAAGCAAATTCTTCGGGTTCATTGAAAAACAATATCTCAAATTAGGGTCCTTTCTTATGATAGGAGACTGAAAAAATTGCTCCCCTTCCCTTAGTTAGATGGAACCCAAAAACTTAACATAGAATAGAAGCCAAAAAAAAAAATGAGGAAAGGAAAAGACAAGTTGTAGCACTCGATGCTTCTCTTCTCCGGCCAGTAGACGCTTGTCAGTGACGTTCCGATAGATTCTCAGTGCCTTGAGTTCGT